CTTAGCAGGTAAACAACATTACCTCACCAAGTAAACAACATTACTATGTAAACTACATTACATCATTAAGTAAACAACATTACTTCAACGAGTAAACAACATTACCTACTTTACTTCGCTGTAGTAATGGTCAAAGCCCAAATGAGACGTATTGCAACCGGCAAAAAGGCATAGATCAGCTGATAGTTTATACCATGCTCGCTTTGGCATTTCCACTAGAAAAATTGATTCCTGTTACTGAGAAGAAACTGAAAATAACACAACCACAAATAAATCATACAAACTAATTATACAAAAATAAACATGAATGTACAAGTATATACATAAATATACAAAAATATAAACAGATATACATGAATATACAAGGATATACAATGATATAAAAGGCTATACATACAAAGGTATTGAAAATACGAACCATTTCATAAAAACATACATGAATATATAAATATACAAAAAAATACAAAAATATATACATCAATATACAATAAAATACAAAGATATATACAAATAAACAAATCACACATATAACATTGTACCATCTGCATCTGACACAGTTTGATTTTTGATCGATTAAAAAATTATTTTATTTATTGTTGTTCTTATACAGTCCTGGTTATGACGCAGTCCTGGTTATGACATTAAACTGACCCTCACTGCCTTGTGAGTGATGTTGGATCATCAAAGGCTAGGCCCACCGCTTATAACTGTGGTTGCGTAAGGAAGGGCGTCCTGCGCAAAAACTAGCCAAAAAATAATACTTATGATGACGGAAATAACAATGGCCCTCAGTATCCGGCAGAAGAGGGTGCGAAGAATCTCCGGAGACCCAGTACATGGGGTTGTGGTGCAAGGCCCTGTGGATGGTCTGGCTACTGGCACCCCACTCTATAGTGTGGCGGTGCAAGGCACTATAGATGGAAGGACTACTTGTAGACCAAGGGGTTGGAGGTTTGGTACCTGGAATGTAGGCACGTTGACAGGAAGAAGTTTGGAAGTGGTGGAGGAGCTGCAGAGGAGAATGGTTGACGTGGCTGCATTACAGGAGATCAGATGGAAAGGTGAGGGTACAAGGTTTGTGGGGGCTAAAGGTGGAAGATATAAGTTGTGGTGGAAGGGGGATGATGGTATGGGAGGAGTTGGTGTGATGGTAAGAGAAGAGTTGGTGGAGAAGGTGTTGGAAGTGAGGCGGAGAAGCAATGGTGTAATTGTGGTGGTGATGGTGTTTGGAAAAGTAATAGTGAGGGTGATATCAGGATATGCTCCGCAACAAAGTAGGAAGGAAGAGGAGAAAGATAGGTTTTATGATGTTTCTGACGAGATTGGGCAAGCGGGGTTGAATGAGTTTGTGGTGTTGTTGGGTGATTTGAATGGTCATGTGGGGGCGGATGCAGACGGATATGAAGGTGTACATGGGGGATGGGGATATGGTATACGGAATGAGGAAGGGCGTAGAGTGTTGGAGTTGGCGGATGCACATAGCATGGTGGTGGGGAATACTTGGTTCACAAGGGAACCAGCGCGATTGATTACTTATAGGTCAGGGGAACATAGATCGATGATA